AACTGTGATAAATAAACAACTCACCTGGTATGTGATTTTTTTGCTGGTCCTGGAAGGGCCAAGGGTCTGTGAGGTACAGCTGAGAAAGAAGTGAAGAGCATGAGAGAACACTCCACATAGGCATTGGCAAAACACCTCTGAAGAAGAGGCCTTCAAGAGGGGCAGAAGTGAGGGGGACCCACATGTCCATGCACAACTTGGATTGTTATATAGTGCTTGGATACACACTACTTTTTAATGTTAAAGCATCTCTGGGCCTCCCTGGTGGCACAGTGGTTGAGCGCTGGGCTGCAAAGCTGCCCGAAGCCTCTGCAGCTCCGGTTCGATCCCCAGCTGGCCGGCCGCGAGGGTGCCACATGGTGCCACAGACCTCTCCTGCCATGCCCGTGCTCCCCTCAGCAGTTACTTTGTCAGTCTACCTGTTCTGCTCCCCGCTCTGGCTCTGGTGAATTCTCTCACCCTCCGTGCTTCTGACTGTGCCACCAGGGGAGGCCCAATAATAAATAATCTTAAAAAAAAAAAAAAAAAAGCATTTCTATTGATTTGTTAACAGTACATGTTCTCCTTAACCTAGAAAAAAAAAAAAAAAAAAGTATACCAACCCAATGAGCAACTAAGCCAAATTAGGAAAAGTCCAGGACTGGAACAAAATGTTTTCAGTACAACTGATGCTGAGGAAAAAAAATATTCTTGGACGGTTATGTTCTCTGTTATAAACACCAGAATCTCAACAAGGTCCTGAAAAAAAAGGAATGGGCGTTTTAATGATCAAACTTTTGGTTATAGGTTCTGTAAATTATCTTTTTGATTAAAAAAAATCTGGTTTTGGTTTTGATATCTCAAAACCCTGCCCAGGCTATGAAAAAAACTCAGTGTCTGCTGTTGATTCTGTCACAATAAAACATGTGCTGAAAGCAGCACCTAACATTTTAACCCCTTTCCTGCCCACCACATCACATCCTGTCTTTTTAGTCAAAGAAATAGGTCAGAATTAAAGACCTATATTGCAGTGTACCTCCTCTGATTATTCTGAAAGACCAGGATATGGGGAGCGTTAGCATGACTCTAATCCTGCCATGGTGTGCCAAGCAGCTCAGAATCTCCAAGGATAGAGAATGAAGAAAAAAGGAGGAGCTTTCCTTTATCTCCCCTGTGTGAGCTCCCTTCCACCTGATCCTTCACAAGTCTCTAAGAGAGTCTTTTTTTTTTTTCCTTTTGCCTTGGCCTCCTCTCCCAACCATTGCTCACAGGGCTCCTGAGAGTTGGTTCACAGTTTCGCCCTCTCTGGATAGGACAGAGGTTCTAGCAGGAAGGTCCCAGGTGTTTCTGGCTGAGCAGGTGAGTCTTTGCTCCTTCCAGCAAGGCCCTGGCTCTCTAGTAAGGCTCAGGCAACTGGCTGTCCTAGGAGGGATTCCGGCCCCTGGGCTCCCCCTCTGACCTCACAAGAGCTGCTCTGTTCCGAGAAAGCTGGACCACGTTTAAAACCCATCTTCCAAGGCACATAAATCCGGAGTATTTACCAACTGTCGCCACCATCCCACATTTGCTATTTTCCTCTCAAGTCCAATATTGTTTAACCATTGTGATGCAAATGTCTTTGACCCAACTGACTACAGGATAGTTGTAGGTAAGAAGCTTATGACCCAGGCACATTCCTTCAGATCTACAGCCTGGAACAGGTTAAGCCTTTCCTGAATGGTTGTCAATTTGTCTAGCTGTTTTCCTCAGCTAATTCCTTGAGACTTCTCTAAAGTGAGCCGCTAGGTGCGTCTTAAGACTGCTCTCTTTGCAAGCACGCAAAACATTGATTGAACGTCTATGTTTAAAATCTTTTTAGTTAAAATCTTTAACCAAGATCTGAAGCTCTCGGATCGTCCTGTCACCTTGACCATAATAAGCTGGGCCTTCTGTAAATGCAAAGCGTGCTTCTGAGGGCACAGGCAGGGCAGGAGGGGCTCGTGGGGTGCAGTCCAGCCTGTTTATGTGCCATGCCCGCAGGGTCTTTAGAAAGAAGATCCCCCCAACCTAATGCCTCGTCCACTTCTGTTGCAGGCTCAGGCCAGGAGGCCGCCAAGGGCCGCGGCGGCTCAGGCCCACCTGCCCGCGGGCAGAGCGCGAGAAGGGCACCCGTCCTCGCTCCTGCCCCGCGCGGCCTGCACTTGGGGTGACCCTGGCGCCTCCCCAGGCTGTTCCCGTGAAAATGGCCGCTGGGCGCTGGCCACAGATGGCGGCGGGATTCGGCGAACCCCGCAGCGGCAAACGACGTCCTGGGGAGAGAGAAGCGCTCACCGGGGCTGTGTCGGGTCAGTTTCGTCCGGCCCATCCAGAGCCTGCACGACCCTCCCCCTCGGAGACCAGCAATGAGGCGTCGCTGGTCCCCCGCGCCGGCCGCGCCGCCTCTCCCCCTGGTGAGACGGGGCAGGAGTCCCGGGGCCAGGAGCAAAGCCGCGTCCTCCTCCACCCGCCCTCCCGGCGGGGCTTCCCGGCCGCCCGCCCCAGCGCGCTCCTCGCCTGTGCCCTGGCCTGGGCCTCCAGCCGCAGAAGGTTCCAGAACCTTCTCCGCAGGCCCCGCGGCCCCTGAACCCTGCGCCCAGGAACCACAGCGCACATGCGCAGAAGGCCTGAGCGGCTCCGGAGTTGGCACCAAAATGCTCACGGGACGTTTCCCATAAGCCCGCGCGCCTCTCCCGGAATAGGGTCTTCAAGCCTTTTTTTTTTTTTTTAATTTTGACAGAAGAAAAATTAAATCATCCTTAGTCCTACCGCAGAAATATAAACATTGTTAAGACTTTTTTCTTCTTCCTATGCACAAACATTTCTAAATATACGAATATTTTGCACTTTGCTTTCCTCATTCACATTTCCAACATCATTCAGAAGCAATACATATGTGCCTATATATCATTTTGAATTACTATAGCATATTGCATTGCATGGATTAACATAATTAAATGGTGCTGGGAAAACTGGGTCGCTACATGCAAAAGAATGAAGCTTGACCACTACCTCACACCATGCACAAAAACCAACTCAAAATGGATGAAAGAACTAGACATAAGGCCTGAAACCATAAAATATATAGAAGGAAATACAGGCAAAACACTACACGACATGCACCTCAAAGACATCTTTACAGACACAGCACCCAAAGCCGTGATAGTGAAGGCAAAGATAAACAGCTGGGGCTACATCAAATTAAAGAGCTTCTGCACAGCAAAAGAGACAATAACAAAAACAAAGAGAATCCCCACCGACTGGGAGAACATTTTTGCACACAACACTAATGATAAAGGACTGATCATAAAAATCTACAAAGAGCTGATGAGACTCAACAAAAACAAAAAAAAATAATCCAGTACAAAAAATGGGCAGAAGAGCTAAAAAGAAACTTCTCCAAACAGGAAATGCAAATGGCCAACAGGCATATGCAAAAATGTTCAACATCACTTGTCATCAGGGAAATGCAAATCAAAACTACCATGAGATACCATCTTACACCAGTGAGAATGGCACATATTAAAAAAACTAGCAACAACAAATGTTGGTGAGGGTGTGGAGAAAAAGGAACTCTCCTGCACTGCTGGTGGGACTGCAAACTGGTCCAACCACTATGGAGAGCTGTGTGGAGATTTCTTGACCTACTAAAGGTAGAGTAGGTCTGCCAGCAATTCCACTCCTATGTATTTACCCAAAGGACACAGAAACATTAATTCCAAAGGGCAGCTGCACCCCTATGTTTATAGCAGCACTATGTACAATGGTTAAGCTATGGAAACAACCCAAATGCCCAAAAATAGATGACTGGATCAAGAAGATGTGGTACATATACACCATGGAATATTACTCAGCAATCAAAAAAGATAAACATATGCAGTTTGCAGCAACATGGATGGAGCTGGAGGGGATCATGCTCTGTGAAATAAGCCAGAAAGAAAAAGAAAAATACCGGATGGTCTCAGTCATAGCAGGAATTTAGAAAACCTAAATAAAGGATCAGGAAAAAGACTAATTGAAAAAAGTGGAAATCAAAAAAAACAAGCAACTATAAACCAGGGACACAATGGGGGGGAGGGCAGAGAGGAAGGATTGGAGTCAAAATAAGGGGTGGTGCAATTGTATGGGGAATATAACAAAAATGAAAATGCATACATTGTGCAAAAATGAAAAATGATATAAGAATTATAGAAAATAAAATACTAAAATAAAGAATACAGAAAAACTAAGCTTAGGTTAAATATTCAATAACAGGGAGTTGGGTGAATTAATTATGTTAATCTTCAAGCCTTTTTAACGCAGCAGACTACAATGCCAAAACTCAAACAAAACTCTTCTTCCAAGACAGCCTAGAGCAGGCAAAGCCTTTCCTGAATGGTTGTCAATTTGTCCAGATGTTTTCAACCAATTCCCTGAGACTCCAAAGTGAGCAGCTGGGTGCGTATTAAGACTGCTCTCTTTACGAACCATGCAAACCACTGACTGAGAGTTTATATTTAAAACCCGTTTTCCAAGGCATGTAAATAGGGAGTATTTACCAACTGTTGCTACCACCCTGCATTTGCTATTTTTCTGTCTCGTCCAATATTGTTAATCACTGTGATGAAAATGTCTTTGACCCTAACTGACTACAGGATAGTTGTAGGTAAGAAGCACGAGACTGGTGACATTCCTTTCAGATCTAGAGCCAGTGTCTCAGTCACCAGGGATGGGCGCCGTGGACTTGTATCTGGGCAGTATTTTAGTCACGAGGAATGTAGATGCTTTCCCTCTTTCATCCCCTCTAACTAGTGGAAGCAACACACAGACACTTCCCTGAAATGTAATGATGACCAATCCCCTTGTCTCCCTCTTCCACCATATGTCACAATCACTTCTCTGCATCCATTGCCACTTTCATGCATAAATTCAACTCTTAACACAGTCCAATTTTGAAAATTGGACTAGTTCATAAAGAGAGGGTCAAGGAAAAGTTTCCAACTCATAGGCAAAATACTATGAAGGGCTTAGAGTAGTAGCCACCACACAAATAGTAGGAAGATTGAACCAGATATAAAAATATGCAACCCCATGGGTGAAACACCAAGAGATGTCAACATATGTTATTTTCTCTTTTTGTGCTTCGAAGCGCTGAGACCATTGAAAACTGTGAATTTTGGGGGCACATTCCACAAATCTTACACAACGTTCTTTATGATCTTTCCATAATTTGTATAATGCTTTTCATTTTATTTCCTCTTTGCACAAAGAGTTGGACAATGTTGATATTTTCCTGTCATGTTTTTGGCTATAATATATTTTCATTAATAAATGAGATTCATTTTCTTAAAAAAGCATCTTAATTTGGGGGCAGAATGGGTAGAATTGTCAGAAGTAGCAGACATAATACAAGCATAGAGACATATCTCCAATTTATGTGTTGTTTGTCCAAAACAAATTATAAAACTCTAAATCACTTGCCCCTTTCATTAAGTATATTTCCCTGATAGTTTTGTTTCTCCTTAACAGTTTTTTCTTTTGCAAATTCGATTGTAGAATTTCTGCCAGAGACATTCTATGGTCCATTCACACTGTTCTACATCTTGTAGTCTCATCTCACTTTTTTCATTCTTTGTTCATTAAACATTCATCAATCAGAAAACACTAGACTTTAGCATTATGAGCTAACAATCCTGCCACAAAATTAATAATTCTGGGTATTTTTCTTCAAATGTGGTTTGTTGAAAGATATGGTACCATCTTGCCTTTTCCACTTTTCAAAATTACAACATGTTGGATCTTTGGAGAAATGACTTTTTAAAATGTTGTCCAGTGAATGTTCTCAATGTTTCCCTTCTTTTACATTACATATAACAATTCCACTTGTTCCCATGCTAGAAACACATTTCATAACTTCCATGTAAAAGAATCAAATTTGTCAGATGAAATTAATTTTACAAGACAATCGTGGTAAATACACTATTGAGCATTTACTTTCTTATTCATAATTAATGCTCCCCTTATAAAAACTATCTTGATACTAATGAGATTTCATCAATTCTTTCTAGAATGCATTCAACAAATTCCATTAAACAATGGAGCATTTCAATAACTCCTCCTACTGTTCTCTCAATAACCACTGAATGGGCGAGAGGGGTTTTCATTGCTACAGATGGCTAGCAGTTGCCAGCCTGTAGTAGCTTCCCCCGTCTCTGTCTGGCATTCTGGACAGAATATGCTAGATTCTCTATTTCTAAGGCAGAACCTGATTGCATCCCTAGTGTCTGATTCCTGTCAAAAGCTGCTTTTGGGAGAAGGCACATCCTTGGGATTGGCACCCTCTACCCACTCCTGACAGATAGGGTTTGCTTTGTAGGACCTGCTTGCAAGATTGGCCCTAACCGGCATCTGAGAAGTTCAAGTTCAATTGGTGGGAGCATTCCCACTAATCCCTGATAAGAAAAGTTTTCTACACTTAAACTGTTTGTATGCCAAATGTAGTTTATGCTGAACACCTGCTTTCTTTCTGGGAATCTGGAGTCTGGGCATGTGCCAGGCACAGGGTGCCTATGCGTTCACCCTGCACTGGGAGAATTAATACGTCCCTTGCGACTCCATAGAGGGAAGACCCTCGCAATTCTGTACCTAGCCTCTGCTGAACGCTGTCCCGTGAGCCTTCTCCCTTCGCAGAATTTGCTTTGCATGGTTTATTGTAACAAATCACAGTCGTTGAGTAGATTATATGTGCAGTCCTGTGAGACATCCTAGTGAGTTACTGAACCTTAAGGTGGTCTTGGGGAACCCTGACAAATAGACACATACTTGTTTTAGAAATGACCTCTCAATATTCTAAATGTTTGTGGGCTCCTTTCTTCTGTATATTTCTAAATACCAAAAACATAACCAAATTTCACATGAAAAGTAAAAAGTATTGTGCCAGGGAAATACTGAAAAGGGACAGAAAATTTGGCCATAGAGTACTATTACTGAAATTGCTATAATATCTTTTGAGTTAATATGGACCTCATTTCCTGTTGATTCAGGAAAAAAAATAAAAGTACTTTAAGAATTTCTGAGTTGCAGTGCTAGTGCTCACCACCAGGGGCGGGTATGCCCACTGTGCTCTCTTCCAATAACAGGAGCCAGGGAAGAGACACCCACATAGTAAACCTAAGAAAGCACAAAAGCCAGCAGCACTAAGACTGACAGTCAGTAGAATGGCTTGTAAGGGCACTTAACAGCTTGCTGTCTTGTTTTGTTTTTGTTTATTTGTAAGCTTAGGCTCAACTGGGTCTCAGGTGAGTAGCTGTCTGGTCCATGGGGCAAACTACTATCAATGGGTCCAAGGAGATTATATTCATTTGATCTGGCCTCCAGTTCTTACACCATGGGGGCAAGAGAGAAAATTTAAATATATAGAGAAGACATTTTTATTTTTATGTTTTTAAAGATTTATTTATTTATACAAGCACTGGGTATAGTCAGAAGCGAGGGAGGGCGAGAGAATTCACCAGAGCCAGAGCACCAAACAGAACAAGCACATGGATGAAGTACACTGCTGAGGGGAGTAGCGGGCGGCAGGAGATGTCTGTGCGCCATGTGGGACCCTCGCTGGTGGTCGGGGATCTGGCCAGGGATCAAACCGGTGCTGCAGAGGTTGCAGGCAGCTTCGAAGCCCAGCACTCAACTGCTGTGCCACCAGGGGAGGCCCAGGGAAGACATTTTTAAAGGGCATCCTGTGTAATGAATCCTTACTACATGGAATTAAGTCCTCCATTACTAGAAAATAGTCAAGTATTCCAAGTCCATGGGAAAAAAAAAAATCTCAAAAATGTTTAGTAGAAGCTACTGTTGAAACTCTTTTCTCTCTACCTCTATCCAAATTCTATCTATTAGTACAACAAAGTAAACTGAATCTAATTCCAATCCATTTCATATATTTTTACATGAGTGAATAGGACAGAATAACCAAGCAGAATTTCTAACGATTCTCTTGCAACTTTCCGTAACTTGCATTGAGTTCTCAACACTCAGCCTGTGCTGGCCTTGGGAGTCAGGCCTCAGGGTGGTATCATCAGACCTTTAGAGAGATTTCCTCTTCTCTAGGCTCCCAAGGCTTTTCTCTCTGGGGTCTCCAGGACTTCCAGAGGAAGTCAGTTTCCCTCCTCTACTGGTTGGTCTCTGGAACCCTGGCATCAGGCACTTTTCATTTTGGCTCGTCTCAATCTCAACTTCCAGAAGATCATACTGTGACATTCTAATCAAAATCTAGATAATTTAGTCATACTTCCAGTTCTCACATATACACATCTTCCAAACCAAACTATTAAATTCCAAATCAGTTTTTCTTAACCACAGATTATCCACAACCACACTACCTGGAAGCTCCTAAACCAGTTCCCACTGTATTTTTGAGCTCATAATTAGTATAGGTGCCGTCTTGATATCCTCTGGAGGCCAGAACAATTAGACACGACTGGAAAGACGTGCAGACAATGTACAAATGGACACAGCTCCTTTAGTTTTTTATCTAACCGAAATGAAATGTCTTGTGTAACTGCATTTTTGCTCTTGTCAGCAAAGACCAGAGCTTTCTCTCTGAATCCTTATGAGGACAAACCATAGTTTTCTGAGGTTAGATTCTTTTCACCACTGCCTGATGGAAAGGCATTTTTTTTTAAGATTTATTTATTTTTATATAAGAACCGGGGTACGGGTCAGATGCACGGGTGGGTGAGAGGATTCACCAGAGACAGAGCAGGGAACAGAACAGGCAGACTGAAGAAATACACTGCTGAGGGGAGCAGCAGGCATGACAGGAGAGGTCTGCTGTGTCATGTGGGACCCTTGCCGGCCGGTTGGGATCAAACAAGTGCTTCAGAGGCTGTGGACAGCTTCACAGTGCGGCACTCAACAATCTGCACCACCAGGAAGACCCTGAAAGGCATTTTTATTCTCACTGAAATAGTCTGTTCACCAAATATACCTGCAAAAGCATAGGGACAAAAGATTCATTTAAAATTGAAGATTAAAGCCAAAATCAAAAATGCCCCCCATGGAATCAAAACCAAATTTCCAAATTGGGGATAGTTGTGAGCAGAGGAAATGTGGTTTCAGATGCTATCCTGGACACCTTACCTAGACTTTGGAAGGAGAAAAAGAGTTTGGATGCAGCAATTGCAAAGAAAAGTTCATAACTGTGTGCGTTGTCTCAGGGTCCAGTGTTCACCACAAAGTTAATCTTGGGGTGCCATAGAAGCTGAAATTTTAAAATACAATTTCTGTCTTTTTCTTAAGTATCTAGATCATCAGTGGGCTCACAAGACTGGGGTTTCTTCATCCTAGAGTGATGTTCCCAGGTTTTTATGACCACAAGTATTAAGGAAATGTGAGTAGTTAGCAAAACTTCATAAGGGCCATACTATTTATCTGAAACATCTCCATTCTACCAGGTCTTGAGTAAGTCCTGATCACGAGATCTGAAAGGAGGCCATGGTTCACTGGGAGGCATAGACATCCTAGTGTGTATAGAGTGACGAGTTCCAGCTGAAATCTCCTGGGTTATGTGTTACATGCTGTTTGATGCTATATACTTGCTATGTGTCTGGCACAATCTTCAAAATTGAAGTTTGGAATGGTGCTCCAAAGGACAATTGCAAAGGGGCTTAACCCCAGCCCACTTCTGGGAGCCACTCTTACCCAAAGAGGGCTCTGCACAAATGTGTTCCTGCATGGATTTTTCCAAAGGTCTTTTTCAAGGTTTGGTTCATGGTGGATTTTGCCATATTCTGCTCTCCACTGGGACCCCAAACTTCCTAAAAGTTTTCAATACGCACACAGTTGGGTTCTGTTATTATGATTAATTTTCCCATAAGCGTTGGCAATGCCCTAGTGTGATATAGTCGCCACCATGAGGCAAGGCCTCAGGAGCCTCGCGGGGCAGCAGCATTGGGAGCAGAGCGAGACGGGGGAAAGACAACTCAAAGTCCAAGTAGAGAGAGAGAGAGAGAGACCTAGAGGGGCGCACACCCGGAGCAGAGCAGGCCTGGAGGGACAGCCCCTCATGACGTGCTGCGCCTTGTACAGTGCAGTCTCACCCTTATCGAGGAGCAGGCTCATGGAAGGCGGGTGAGTATGTGGTGGGGTGTCCTGGTGGACTGTGCATTTGGGGATGCATCGTTGTCTGGCACAAGCTCAGGGGGAGAGAATAGGAGCTGTTGCCAGGGGACTCCATTTTTTTCCCAATATCAAAGCATCCGAACTCTAGTTTCTGTTCTCATTTACCTTCCTGTCAAGTTGGTCTAGCAGGTTCTGCTAATCTGGCCATGAAGTCTGCTGGCTGTTTTCAGCAGATAATGGATTCCCAGGGAGAGAGTCATGGAAAGTCTGAGTGTTGCTGCTACTCTAGCCATAACACCTGTTGCTGTCTCTGCACTTGCTGTTTTCAGCATGTTTAGATCCTCCCACCAGGACTTTTGCCCTGAGAGGTTCCCTATCTCAAACTTTCCCTGTTTCTGCACACTGAGAGGCACAGACTAGTGAAAGCAAAGAAATATCTAGGCAAAGACACAGCATAGTCGAGGGGCACAATAATCCACGCTCCACAGTGCCTGAAGCTGGAGGAACATCAGCTGGACAGGGAACCGAGCTGCTGCCTGACCCATGTCCCTGCCCACACCCGGTGTCCATGGCACATGACCCAACCTGAACGAATGATGAGGTGCTAACTAATCAACTAATGATGACTCACTATTCAGTGAAACAGCCATCATTGTTATCTCCTATGAGACCCAGATTCTCCCAACTATGCAATTACCCCCAGGTCCAAGGAGAATTGCCCTGTGTTACCCAAACCAGAGAGCCCCCTCCTGGCTTGCAGGACAGTTTCAGCAGAGATGAGGAGAGTGATGGGGTTCACTCATCCTGAAAGCATGGGTTCAGTATCAGGGACCCCTCACTGTGGAGGGTTGTTGTGTGCGTGTGATGTCTGGGAAACCAGACACAAATGATCCTCTCTGGGAAGTCAGCCTGGACACACCAATTTTCTTGTTTGTCCTGTATGTCCCCTCAGACAGCGTCAGCCCCCTGAGCCTGGGCAAGGGCCCCTCTTGTCCGCACTGTGTGTTGAGCCCCTAGACCCAAATCTGGCACATGCTGGCTGTTCAGTATGTGTGTGGAGACACCCCATCTGGGAGTCAGCTCCCCCATGTCACAGGTGGACTCTGTGTCCCTGGTGCTGCCCGATGCCTTTGATATCGATGACTGTGTCCCCTCAGTGTGGTCTGTGGATCCCTGAACCCTAGTATCACTGCATTTGCGACAAGGCATGGAAGGAGGTGATTCAGATAAAGATGGTCATGAGGGTGATGCCCTCATCAAGAAGAGCTGGTGACTTTATAAGAAGAGGAAGAGAACCAGGGGTGAGCCCCACAGAATAGCCCATGTGGGGGCACCATGAGAAACAGCCATTGAAATCCAGAAGAGAGATTGCAGGAGAATCCAAACCTGCCGACTCCTGATTTTGGGCCTCCAGACTCCAGCAGCGGGAGCAAATGAATTGCTGTTGGCTAAGCCCTCCATTCTGTGGTTGTTAAGGGGGCTCCAGCCAACCAACTCACCCCTCATGGAACTGTCCCCAGGTCACCCATCCCCCATGAAGAATTTGTGCTCAAAACTGGCGCAACCACTATGGAAAGCTGTGTGGAGATTCCTCAACCTGCTAAAGATGCAGCTTCCATATGATCCAGCAATTCCAGTCCCAGGTATTTCCCCAGAGGACACAGAATCATTAATTCAAAAGGGCACCTGCACCCCTACGTTTACAGCAGCACTGTTTACAATAGCTAAGCTTTGGAAACAACCCAAATGCCCAAAAACAGACGACTGGATCAGGAAGATGTGGTACATATACACCATGGAATATTACTCAGCATTCAAAAAAGATAAACACATGCAATTTGCAGCAACATGGATGGCGCTGGAAGGGATCATGCTCAGCGAAATAAGCCAGAAAGACCAGATGGTCTCACTCATAGCGGGAATTTAGGAAACCTAAATAAGACACCAGGAAAAAGACTAATTATAATAAAATCAAAATCAATAAGCAACTATAAACCAGAAACACACCATGGGGGTGGGGGGGCGGGGAGGAAGAGGAGGAGGGATTAGGATCAAAATAAGAGGGGTGGGAATTGTATGGGGAATATAACCAAGATGAAAAGGTATATATTGCATAAAATTGAAAAATGATGTAAAAAAGGCATAAAATTAAAAAAAAATAAATATAAAATAAAAAAACTAATCTGTGCTCAATTTGAACAATCAGACAATTTGTTATCACCAAAGACAAGCTGTCTGGTCAGCTTTTGTGAGGATGAGGACTTGATTTTACCAAATTCACTGGGTCTCACACTGCAATTTTTTTTTAAAGATTTATTTATTTATTTATACAAGCACTGGGTACAGTCAGAAGCACGGGAGGGTGAGAGAATTCTCCAGAGCCAGAGTGGGGAGCAGAGCACGCAGAAGGACCGAAGTACACTGCTGAGGGGGCAGCGGGCAGCAGGAGAGGTCTGTGCACCATGTGGGACCCTCCTCCAGTGGCCGGGGAGCAGAAGGGGAGCGAACCGGCACTGCAGAGGCTGCGGGCAGCTTCGCAACCCAGCGCTCAACTGCTGCGCCACTGGGGAGGCCCTCACACTGCAATTTTTGACCAAACAAACAGGGAGCAGCTGTACTGTTAGAGGGAGTACAGAATGAATCCCCTCCGAGGGGTTCCTGCCTCACTTCCCCACAGTCCTGGAGCACAGTGTGCCACCCCACCTGCTGCTTTGTGACTGGCAGTGGTACTCAGCCTCGTCCTCAGGCTGTAGCCCAGTGATGGTCAGCGAGCCCGAGGTGCCAGATTTGGAGCCTGAGAATCGATCAGGGAACCCTGAGGGCTTATTGCTGTTATCATGTATCAGGAGTTTGGGGGTTGTTCCTGGGAGCTGTTGGTACCATTGCACATTATAACCCCCGATGTTGGAGCTGCTTCCAGCACAGGTGATGACGATGCTCTGGCCCAGCGCCCCAGACACTGAAGACAGCTGAGTCAGCTCAGACTGGGCCCAGGATCCTGGAAGTGGGAAAGATGCACAGAGGGTGATGCTAGGGTCTAGAGTCAGGAGGAAAAGTTAGGCCCTATGGATCCTCACCTGTGCAGTGAGAGATGATCATGAGGAGGAGAGGCATCCAGGCCACGGTGCTCACAGCCTCTGAGCCCCACAAAGGGCTGGGCTGCCCCAGGCTTCCTTTTCTTCCCTACCTTCTGCCACAGGAGGGGATGTGCGTGCAAATGAGTTTTCATCCAGGGACTTCCCAGCCCTCCCTGATCCCTGATGCTGCAGCCCAGCTCACAACCCACACTTGAGGATTGTGGATGTTTCCTTCACCCCTTGGGAGAGCCTGGGAGGAAGCACCTCCTGCCACACATAGGTGGCTCAGGGACTGTGCCAGGCCAAGAGGACACAGCAGCTGATTGCCCATCAGGGAACATAAGCACCAGCCCTAAGCCCAGGCTGCTCTGAGTGAATCATCATCACTGAGCAGCTGTGTAGCTCAAATAGGCAGCCCCACAGTGCCCCCTCCTGGTCGCAGGGCTCACACACACCATGGCCCAGAGCCCTGGGAGCCCAGCTATTAAATGTTTGCTGCCACCAGGTCACTGTCTCTGGTCACACACCCAGCTCTGCTCCAGGGTGCTGTGGTTCCAGGACACGGCCCTGGTTACTGTAGGTTCTCTTCCGACAAGTTTCTTAGTCCATGGAGGTGCAAACATGTGCATTCAGAATATATTTGACTGCATTTGAGAAATAACAAAATGATCCAAATGAGCATCAGTTCAGACAACACAGAATAAGGGAGAGAGAGCTGGTTGGAAGAACTTGAGAGGAAGTGCAGATAAGTGGCACAGAATAGAAATTCCCAAGAATAAACAAATGGCATATTCAAAAGAGGACAATTCAGCAAATATTTCTAAAAATTATCTAATTTTGGGTGCAGATTACATTTTTTCATAGTGATTGGTGACAATAAAGGCTTTGGAAGACTTCACACATGAGTGTGGATACATATCACTCTTTTAAACTTTGCGCATTAACCTTTATATTTGTAATTCTCCGGTTTCTGCGGATCTGTGTCATATATTTCTATCAGGATTCTGATTAATTCACTTATAATTTATTTGTATTTTAAATATTTCCCTTCCTTTTATTTATATACTTACTATCTTAGCTTAATAGCAAATAAACAGAAGATTTTATGTTCCCACTGTCTGGATAGTTGAATGCAGAACCCTGGCGTCCTCACCACACCCTGTTCTGCTCTGCTTTCACTTTGCCATGGTCCCCAGACTTCTAGACTCCGGGGTCTTGGGAAAATACCTGTGATCTCACATCCTCTCCTCAGTTATTCAAATGATCCTCCTCCTTCATCTCAGGCAGGTCAGTAAATGCTCACACCCTTCAGGACCCTCACTGCTCTGGGCATGAACCCCACCCCCGGCCTTCCCTCAGGAGCCTGCAGGGTCTGCTCTGTGCCCTCACACACCTCACACCCTTCCTTGTTCTCAGACCTCCAGCCTCCCTCACACTCATGACTTCACCACCTGACCCCTTTCCCTTGCACGGTCCCCAGAGTGAAGCCTCCTCTGTGTGGGGGAGAGGAGGGCTGGCACTTGTCATCACAGTGAAGACATACAGGGTGTCAAGTCTGAGGGACATGGTTCTTCACAGCAGGATGTACCCCCATCATCACAAACAGGATTAGAGAAAACTAATTTATATCGTGGGAAACTTTGAAGTTAACAAACTATAGAGAGTTGTCCCCTTAGTCCACATCAACAAGGATCAATGAAACTCATCTTCTTTCATCTTCTTCTTTATCCTTCTTTTTCTGAATTGAGAACAATCCTAAATACCATATCACTTCAGGGCCTCCCTGGTGATGTAGCGGTTAAAGACATAGCTACCAAGTTGTCACCAGCCACTGCAGCATGAGTTCTCTCCCTGGCCGGCAAGGGAGCTACCCACATGGTGCGATAGACATGTCCAGTCTTACATGCTGCTCCCCTCAGCAGTGTATTTCAGTAGATCTGCTACCCACTCTCTCTGGTGAATCCTCTCACCCCTGCACCTCTAGCTTACACCCCGGTTGTTGTATGCATACATAAATAAAGCTTGAAAAAAAACCATATCACTTCATTGGCCATATATCACAATCTGGCATGTATTTACATTTTAATTGACCTCAAACTACTGTGCATTAATGTAACGTATTCCATCTGCTCTCTCATAACTTGTTTTGTTGAAATCTCCCAAGTGTGTGTCTAATTGGGTGGCGGGACAGATGGGAAATTGCAGGGAGTGCAGGGCCCATGTCTGGGGCAGGTGGTCCATGGAGGACACACTGGGGTAGAACAAGGCCCAGACCGGCACGTGTCCTCACACACCATGTGCTGATTTCCTTCACCCACGGGCCCTGGGAGGGGTCATGTCTTCTCTGGACACAGATTTAAAACTTGTCTATCGTCCTTTATGAGTTTTCCCACCAGCTCCTTTGGGCAGATTGGGTTATAGTGTTGATTATTAAAGTTCTTTGACCCTGTGGTATATTTTGAGCTGCTTACTTTGTGTGAGTGAAAATTATCTTACAGGCTCTTAGTGCAGTGGAAGGAGGGCAGAAGTTCTAGCAACAACCTCCTCATGGCAGCTGATGTGCTCATGGGTGCGTCTGCTACCTAAGAATATGCTCCCACTCCTGTCTTTGGCTCCTGTCTCCTGTGGGCCAACCACACTGGTGTGCAAATTCCCTGAAGTCTACGAGACTACATGTGTTCTTATTCACTTGGTTTCACATGTGTGTAAAACACTTGCTAAGTGGACATACAACGAGATCCATTATATTTTCATGTGATTTATGTAAATATTGAAGCTCACGCATTAACCAAAACTTGCCTCCACCTTCTGGCTGAGAGGCATATCCATGTGACAGGGTCATGATGCTCTGACCTCACTGGAGTTCTGTGTCACTGTCTGTCTAATAGAGGGGGACAGAGCACAGAGATGACACACACCCCTCTTCACAGCTGAATGTCACAAACTGAAGGCAAAGTCAAAGGGGCCTAAAGGTGTTAAAAGTGTCCTTGTGACCCAGTGGATCTCAAATGGAGTGATTCTCTGCCAGTCAGAGGATTCTGGAATGTCTTGAGCTGTTTTTATGGAGAAGGATGTACCAGCCTGTGAAGTGTGGCTTGCAGGATGGTTGAATACCTCCTCCCTGCAGAGAGCAGCCCCCCACAGGCAATGACTCCACACTGTCTTGAGGAGTACAGAACTTGTTTCGGAATAAATCACCTTCATGAAGTGATCACAAAGGAAATACAGAATCATCCATCAAGACACGGGTGTCAGGGAAGAGGAAAGCTAGCAGAAGGATTCATACAGTCTCCACACAGACACTGGAGCAGGAGGCACAGGGAAGAACAACCTCCCTGGAGGGTCTGGTTGGGGGCAGACCCAGGCTGGGGAGGCTCTGGGAGTTTTGGTCTCACTTCCCTGTAAGTCTGGAGTGCTGTATCTATAGCTACCATAAGAGAGGCAGTAGTAGTCGGCCTCGTCCTCTTGCTGCACCCCAGAGATGGTCAGGGAGGCAGCACTGGACGAGGTGTCCTTGGAACCAGGGAACCGATCAGGAACCCCTGAGGGTCTTTGATCATCACCATAGATCAGCATGGTGGGGGCATTGCCTGGGTGCTTCTGGTACCAGAGAATTTAGTGGCTTCCAAAGTTGCCACTGCAGACCCCGACACTGAGCCAGGTTGAGTCAGCTCAAACGGGACCCAACAACCTGCAGGAGACCAGACCACAGAGGACAGTGAGAACAGAAATGACCTCTATCCCAGGGAGGGAGGAGAGGTCATTATCTGAGGTGACATCCAGGTGTCCTCCCAGAATTCCCTTCAGGCAGCACCTGTGCAGAGGGCAAGGAGGGTGAGGATAGGATGAGCCCATGGTGTGATGCCTCTTGGCTCTACTTGCTGAGCCTCACAGCCCCTACTGAGGCCACCAATCCTTATGTGTCACCCTATTCACAGGTGGGAGGTCTCCATGCAAATCTTCCCCTCTCAGGAACCGGATCAAGCCCCTCCTTCAAGATAGGCTTGGGCACCGGCTGAGTAAACAAGATGGTAAGACTGGGGAAGGCTAACCTCCAGGGATACACAGGAAAACCTGCAAGAGGCCACAGAGAGCAGAGCTCACAGCTCAGGAACTGGGGAGCACCTGCGCCCTCTGGAGGATGCAGGCGATATGGCGCCCCTCCAAGGAGACCAGCTCAGTGTCCAGCCCTCTGGACATCTCACTGGTCACATCCACTTATCAGATTTGTTTCCTTACACGAAAGTATAATGGAAACCTCCTTGTGTCTTTCTGTGGCTTTCTCGCTCAGTTTTAAAATCCCCTCGTATGGGTAAAGCAGGGACATTTATTCATCACCTATTGCAGCACATTTTCACAGACATGAAGAAAGCAGCATTAAACAATTATGTGCTTATCTTGTGACACAAATACTGATTTCAGAAATACCTAGGAGTGGGATTTCAAAATTGTATCATATTAGACTGACTTTTCCTTTGTAAGAAACTGTCACAGTGTCGTCTCAATTTGTCATGACTTTTTGCAATCCCAGCAACAAGTGAGGATTCCTGCCCCCTCCCTGCAGGGCAGGATCTAAAGACGTCATTCATTCTTTTTAAACCATTCTGACAAGTGACATTTCATTATGGACACGTGCTTTTCCTCAGGAACTTACAGTGTGGACTCATTCTATACTCATTCACCATTCGCTCCTCTTCCTATGTGAGGGGCCTGCTCATCTGTTCAATTGGGGGAGGGTGTTGCCCTCCACAGGGGATGCAGGTATCTAACCTCACATATCCAACCTCTGCGGTACAGGGAGGCTGTGCAGCCCCACAAAGCTTCCTACGGGCGATATTTCAACTGTATGAAAAATAATAAGAGAGAACCGGTACTGTATTTTCTACAAAGACAAAATTAGCTGCAGTGGAAATAAAGTGAGGAAATAGATTAAAAGTTCAGAGAACAACTGAAAAGCTCAATTGTAGAACTAACCCAGAGAATTGCTTACAATACAATTTCAGAGGAAATTTCAGACAAAATCAAGAGAAAAAAGGATTCCAATTCATTTGCATACTATTAGTATTATAGCAGTACATATTACTACTGTTCTTATTACTATTACTATGATGCCATAACATATGAAAGAGTGGAAATCTTCCTCACTCTTTTAGCAAGAACTTATGGCATGATGCATATGCAGTGAAATTACACAAGAAGAAAAATACAGACCAATAACATTACATATTAATATAGATGTTTTAAATAAAGTATTAACAAAGAGATCCCATGAACAGATGAATTCATTGATGCATCCTTGCCAAATAGGATTTCATCCAATGCTATGAGTTGTGTTCCATATTATACAATATTTTAATAGGATATTGTATTAACACATCACTAAATTTGATCATTGTCCCAAGTGAAGCTGAAAGAGCCTTTTACCCCATCTACTGTGAATTCCTAATAGAAGCCACATAAATTACAAGCCAGCAGCTACATCTGTGATGTGGTAACACGCACTCTCATGCACGCTGTGTGTCCCAGTCCTGCCGCATCTCAGTGAGTGGGGAGGTGAAGGGGCGCTCCCAGGAACAGGCCAAGGCGCCCTTTCCTCCATCACCGCTCAACATTGCCCTGCAGTGACGGGAAATGCAGTAAAGAAGTGAATTCAGTGTATTCACTTGGCGCTGATGGAAAAGCCAGAAGTCAGCCTGAGATGCAAATGCCAGTGTCACCTGGGAAGGTTGGTGCTGGGGCACAGGTGACAGCAGGGATCTCCCGGGGTGAGGACTCACTGACAGTGACTACTTCTGCCAACAGTGACAGACAGAGGCCTGCTGGTGGGACAAGGGGAGCAGAGAAGATGCCTTGGCCCTGCTGCGCAGGGGGAGAGCAGTTACCTCTGGGCTGAGTTCTAATCGGCCTCCCACTTGGGCTGCACCCCAAGTAGCAAGACGTCACGTGGATGGGGCTTCTATCTGGAAAAACAATAACCCACATTCTGAAGTTTCTGGCAGCCAACGTTGACCTTCTGCCAAGTGCCCTGAGATGCAGGGTCGTGAGGCTGGTGTCATTGCACCTGCTCCTGGTGGGCCTGAGGGGAAGGCAGGTCCTGGGTGACCCGGGAGTCCTTCCCACAAATTCTCAAAGGGTCCCTGGATGAGAGGATGAAAACAAAGCCTCCAGGGTGTGGTGGGGATACCCCAGAACTCTGTTCCTTGAGGCTCCATGGTGGACATTCAGCTCACCAGCAGGGTCTCATGCTCTGCACAGACTTTCCTAGGAGCTCACTTCCTTCTCGGAAAGACATTCCAGACCCTCCTTGTCTATCAGATGCAAACACTACCTGACTTGGCCATAGACTCCAGTGAGGAAAAGACTGAATTTGAGACAATGTGGTAAGGAGGTCAGACCTGGGAGCTCATAGGGTGATGGTGGCCTCACGGGAGGTGAAGGTCACGCATCAATAAGGACGCAGTGTGCCACCTCCCCTGGGCCAGCTGAAGGGTTACCCACTATCTGCCCCAATACCACACTAAGAAGACACGGCGTGGACCCTGCAGGCACAGGCCACGCGCTCAGCCACTGTGAGGCCTCAGCATGTGTGAGAGGCTCTTGTCTGTGGTGTTAGGGCCCAGGGAGTGGGGTGAGGTTGGCCTTTCCAGGACACCATGGGGACAATGAGGCCTCACATTGGGACTTTCATCTCCAGGGAAAACTCCCATTTATTGGAATGTCAATCTCTGTCCCCTCTGTCCCCAGGGCTCCCACCTAAAGTGTGGGAACACTATTAATAGGGTTGCAAGTTCCTACAAATATATCATTTCTTCTCTGCTTCTGTGGAAGGATCTCCTTCAGTTGTGTTTCTAAACCCCAAGTCCCCCCACCCTCAGCGACATATAGCCTAAGCCTGAGGTCCCCTGGGTGAGGAAGGAGCTGTCTACGGCAGCAGCTGCCTTAGACAGTGGCCAAGGAGCCTGATGTCCGGTATCCCAGATCACACGGGGAGTCACACGTAATCGCATGTCACTGTGGAGACACCCCGTTGCTCAGCACCCCTGACACCATGCAGACTGAGCCCCCTCGTGGGAAAGGCAGCTCCCCCGGACAGGCCAGAGGCCTCTGATGTGGATGGAGGCGCCTGTCTCTTACAGCCGAACCCTGGAGACAGACTTGGGGCAGCTGCACCCCACAATAGGCCAGCAGCTCTCAGGACACCCTTACTTCTGGGGCATGAGGGTGAGCTCCACCTCCTGCTTCCTGCTCCATCACCTCCCTGGTGGGAAACTCAGCTCAAGTCTGACTCGTATCTGTATAGACACAGCCAATGTGAGAAGAAATGAGCTTTTTAGCTAAGGGTAATGAGAAGATGAGACACAACCCTGTGTCCAAGGAAATTAGACCAAAAAAAGTGACTACAGATGTCACCAGACTGAGGCCTGGTACTGAGAGCAGGGGTGACTGCTCCAGGCCGGGGCAGCAATGGGAGGATTTTGTCTCACATCCCCGTGGGTCTGGAGCACTGTGAGGACTTTGAGTCTCCATGATCTGCACTACAGTAGTAGTCGGCCTCGTCCGCAGGCTGCGCCCCAAGATGAGCAGGAGCTTCGCATTGGCCGAGGCGTCTTTGGCTCCAGAGAAGTGGCTGGGGTCCCTGGGGCCCTGGTGATGATCCAAGTCTGATTTTACTTCAAAAGATACCGGGGAGGCCTCCCTGGCTTCTGCTGGTGCCAGCGGATCCTGAAATCACCGACACTGATGTCACTGCTCAGGATGCAGGTGAGTCTGGCTGTTGCTCCAGGAGAAGCTGAGAGGGAGGGCAGCTGAGTCAGACAGGCTGGGAGAGGGAACCTGTTGACAGAAACACACTTAGTCACAGCAGCAGGACTCAGGGGAGATTTCCCCGGGATCTTAAATAGAAGTCAGAGGACAAGCAGGAGAAATATTCTTGTTTGAGGCCTGTCTTTTCCTGTGTGGTGAGAGGAGCAGGAGGAGCAGACGCGTCCTGGCCATGGTGCTCACAGCCCACTGAAGTCCACATGGGCTGGGCTGCCCCAGGCCTCCTTTTCTTCCCCACCATCTGCCATAGCAGGTGCTGTGCATGCAAATGGGGTTCACCCAGGGGCTGCCCAGCCCCTCCCCGAGCCCTGGAGCTGGGGCTCATCTCACACCCCACACTGAGGACAGGGAGACTTGCTTCACTCCTTGAGAGAATCTTGGGACAAAACACCTGCTGGCCCCCACACAGGATTCTGCTCAGGGACCGTGCCAGGCCAGAGAGGACATGGATGGGGTATAGGCCAGACTCGAGGGAGGGTGAGAGGATTCATCAGAGACAGAGCAGGGAGCAGAACAGGCAGACTGACTGAAATACACTGCTGAGGGGAGCAGCGGGCGAGACAGGAGAGGTCTGCCATGCCATGTGGGACCCTCGCTGGCCGGCTGGGAACAAACCGTCGCTGCAGAGGCTGTGGACAGCTTCACAGTGCTGTGCTCAACCGCCTGCGCCACCAGGGGAGGCCCAAACCTGAAAATTTAGTGGTAGCTTTAGTTTCTGTTTGGACTGGAATTCCAGTTTGCAGGGTTGCTAATGAAACAATGGCACATAGCAAGGTTTTTCTAGGCTGCCTAATAATCAGATAAGCATTAGGCAGATTCATAAAGTCAAGAAAAGTCAGAGAGACATATTAATACTATGTACATTTTCCATATACATGGGACTCAGTAGGAGAGACAAAAGTACCTTTTATACCAGAAGTTTCTTTTGAAGTAAACACTAGACAGAGTAAAGTATTGCTCCCAACATGGTAACACTAACAGACACAGAGATCTCTTGATATTCATTCAAAATTTTGGCTATGTGTACCATTTTAGGAGATAGTCATTTTATCAATATTTGTGAAGACACTGAGAAACCTGTCACTGATTTAATTTCAGTCCTTTAGCAACTCCTTCCGATCAACCATGTCCTAAATTTGTATTTTAAGAGTGACTCTTTGCCTTTAAAGAAGTTGTGCGCAGAGAATTTACATTAGATTTTAAGACCAGAAAAAAAAAATTCTTTTAAATTGTATAAGAATTTAAACACCTCAACCTAGTTTTTGAAATGTCTTAGATTTTAAGTTTGATGCTCTAATTTACCATTTTTTATACATTTGTATATGAAGAAGGTTTTCAATGAGATAGAAGCTAAAATCTTTACCTGGAACAGGTGTCTAATCTTAATGGTTACTAAAGACCTAGGCCTCGAGACTGCAACAATTTTAAAGTCAAGCAGTTTTTACTAAATTTTTTACATAAGAAGTTTATATTTTTAAGGAAGGATCCTTTGGTTTTAAGTTGTTACACTTTTATCTCACTGAGAGCAAGCATATTTTGAAGGCAAAAAATAAAACACTTTTCTGAGGACAGGAGAAGAGGTATATTTTTACAGTTTTCTGGTTCAGATTTAACTCAAAAAAGTTGCATTTTCTCTTTGTATTTTATCAATATCATTAATTTTAACAAACAATGAATCTTTTACAGTCCCAATAAGCAAATTAAAAATTTTTACTCACCCAATAAGCATGTTGAAGGACACAGAGGGAAATATATATATTTTTTTTTTTTACCTATAGAACAGAACAGAATAGTATCTCTAGGTGGACAAAAGGAGAGTCCAGTCCCCCACTGCAGGAAGGTTCATCCCATTAGCTTGTGCTTCCACATCACGTGGGGGCTGCCTTTTCAAGGCAGCCAAACTTCTGTCTGGAACCACATCCTTAATTTTGCCTTTACCCTCAGTGATGAGACCCTTCGACAATATGTAGGAATATTATTCTTTCATCTACCTTTGTCCCTTAAAATCTTTTAAACTTTTATCTCTGTTTGGTGTCTAAATGCAAATGTTGTTTCAACATTGAAAACCTGACATTTCTTGGCTCTCTCTTCATATTTTTTTTTTGTAAAGATTTATTTATGCATGCAAGAGCTAGGGTGCAGGCCAGAGATACAGGGGGTGGGAGGATTCACTAGAGACAGAGTGGGGAGCAGAATAGGCAGATCTTCTGAAATACACTGCTGAGGGGAGCAGCGGGCAAATCAAGAGAGGTCCACTGGGCCTTGTGGGTGGCTCGCTGGCCGGGGATTGAACTTGCATTGCAGTGGCTGTGGATAGCCTCATAGTGCTGTGCTTAAACCCTTGCGCCACCAGGGAGGCCCTCTGTCTATTCTTATTATGGCTTGCAAACAATTTTTTTCCAGACTCATCTCTTTCTTGTAATACCTTATCAAATGTCGTTATTCACCTGTAACACCAACAGCTAAGGCATGTCTTTCCATCTTTCCCCAGAGCTACATGCTCCTTCCTGAGTAGTCTGTCTTGCAAGCACCCACATGTTTGCCAGGTATGTCGCTACTGATGTACATCATGAATTCACATCCATTTCTCAACACCCTCACTTTTTAGCATCTGACTTAACTTTCTCACTTTATGTCAGGTCAGGCTGTGCTTGGGCCCTGTGACAAAAAATGGCAAGCCCTTGGAGCCTTAAAATTAAACGTTTTCTCGCTCTCACAAAGTCCAAGGCTGATGGGGGGATGCCCATGTTGCCAAGCCTTCTTCAATCCCGTGGGTTTGTCTTGCTAATAGGGACCTCGATTCTTTGAGAGAAAGCAAAAGAGAGCAAAGTGAAAAAGAGAACGAGCCAAAGGGAAACTTTGAAGGCTGCAAAAGTGCTTTCCTCGGCCTCAGAACCCATCATACTGCACTGTGGACCCTCTCGCTATGAGGGAGGAAGATATACAGATGCAGCGTGTTTGAGAATGAGAGAAGAACCAGCTACTAGGGAGCACTAGAAATATTTCTCTGAGTAGGTATTACAGTCTCCAGGTTAGAGAAGGGGAAACTGAACCTCAGGAGTAGTAAGATGATCTCCCCAAGATTAAGATTGCCAGTTAGTTAGTGACAAAGCCCAAAATCAAACCCAGGTCAGTCTGTTATTCTACCCTGTGACCTAGTTCTTCCAATGCACTTACTTGTTAAATCATTTCAAATACTGTAACATCACATTGACACAAAAGGCCCTTGGAGAATGAAAAGCTGAATGTTTCTCTATAAGACTGTAATGGCTCCCCAATGTTTTTAAAACGCATAAAACAACTTAGGATACACATATTTTCAGTGACTGATAATGTAGACACACCTACCTCAGAGATGGGTGTTCTCTTCTTGTGTATCTTTGCTCCAGAGGCCTCAGCATTTACTACTGTTGAGTCAACCCATCCAGTATCCCAAGGGATAAGATTGTCTGGTGGGGAGCAATTGGGGTACTTTGTACCTTAGAGGCTACAATGCAATGATTTAGGAAGAAACCATGCTTGAAACAAAAACCAGGATTTCTCCGGTGGGGATAATTCTCCTGAAACACTGGATGAAGAAGGGGTTGAAGTAGGGGATTCCTTGGTGTGAATGGAAGTTTTGGGAGAAACAAGGAAGTTATTTGATGGAATATTAGTTGAAAAGATGAAAATTACCTGTTCATCTTAAAATACCAGCTGTATAAAAATTTGCAGCTTTATAAAAAGAGCCTGAAGCATTGTGTGTCTGGGTATACCACCCTTAAAATTCAGGGGTTTCAAATCTTTACAACATAAAGACATCAAGTAAAATTCAAAAGTTTTTGCCTAAATTCTTATATGTCTTTTCTTTGCTAATAAGTTTTTTCATCTCCAGATCCTGGCCCACTGCTTGCTGGTGTGCCACTAGCTCCAGATCCTGGCCCACTGCTTGCTGGTGTGCCACTAGCTCCATGCCCTCGTTGACAGAGCAGCAGCATCTTGCATGAATGGCCTTGGGAATCAGGACGTGGATGCGCTATCCAGGATGAGAGCTGGCCTCTGTGGCCTTAGAATCTCTATTTTCCTCCTGTTGGTTAAGAAACCTTATTGTTGTTTTTCCCTAGAGTGGCATCCTCAGATGGTGGGCTTCCTGACTACCCATTCACTAGTTTACATAGTGGAGATTGGACCCTGAAATCTGATCCCTTAGGGAGAATTTGTCCTGCTTTAAGCTCAGCAGAAGGACAAAGGGCTGAGACCAGCACAATCTCATTGTTTGGGAAGGAGGAGGTGCTCTGCCTCTTCCACCGCTCACTTTCTTTTTGAGGCTAATTGAGGGTTCAGGACCCTCCCCTGTATTCTTGCCAGGTCAGTCCTGGTGGGCTATGTGGGTCCATCAACAGTAACAGGGAGAAGGTAATGACAAGAGGCTGTTCTTCATCCTCAGCTGCTCTAGACCCATCTGTTGCTGTCCCAGGTGACACTGGGCTGGAAATCTGGGAACTAAGTGGTGGGACTCCAGAAGTGGGCAGCATGTGAGGATGGAGCTGAGACCTGGTGGGAGGGAGAGATGAGGACTGAAGGGTGAGGAATGGATTGGAGGCACTGAGTCATGGCTAAGTGACAGTAAAGGGAGTGTCATAGCATCTTCTCTCCCATGGGATACCCTTGGGTCAGAAAGTGACAGTGAACAATGCATTAGATCGGATGAGACATGTGAGGGTCTGATTTGAGGAGCTCAGGGGCTCTGTGCAGCTGCCTCTCATTGTCCCACCAGGAACCTTTCCAGGAAACTTTTAAGAAATGTGCTTTCTCCTGTTTGCCTTTCCTTCCTCTCCATCTACCTACCTACCTACCTACTTCTCTCTCATGTGGCTGCCTACCTGTCTGTGGTTCCTTTATCAAGTGTGAGCATCCATATGTATGTGTGTTTCTGCTGATATTAGCAGTGGAGTGGCTTTGGAGGGCATGTGTGCTGTAGCATTTCATACCATGAATAGATCTGATGTTTTAAGTTTGGCAAGACCTTCACGTTATCCTAACTTTTCTCTTGTTCCATGAATTTTGTGTGCGGTAACCTCTTCCCCATGGCTAGTTCTCCTCCACAGATCAAAAAAACATAGAGACATATTTTTTTAAGATTTATTTATTCATACAAGAGCTGGGTACAAGCCAGAGGTGTGAGGGTTGAGAGGATTTACCAGAGACAGAACAGGGAACAGAACAGGCAGATTGACTGAAATACACTGCAGAAGGGAGCAGCAGACAAGTCAGGAGAGGTCTGCTGTGCCATGTGGGTTACTCTCTGGCCGGGGATTGAACTCGTGCTGCAGTGGCTGAGGCTAGTTTCATAGGCTGCGTCTTAACCCCTTGCACTACCAGGGAGGCCTGAGACATATTTTAATCCTAAATATTTTGTGCATTATCTAACATACTGTATTTTGAATAAGTATATATATATATATATATATACACATTTATACATATATAGATTTATATATACAGATTTATATATATATACACGCATATAAACAGATACAGAGACGTGTGTACATTACATATATTACATATATATATATAATATATAATTTTTTCCCTTCCATCATCCAGCAGAGAAATTTACCGAGGACATAGTGTGATGTTTTTTGATTAAATTCTCGGTGCATTGTCAACCATTCACCTACAATGAGAAAGACAATCATCAACAAATTCTTAAAGATGGAGCGTTCAGTCAGTACCTGCACTTGGCAAAGTGAACATAGGAAGGTAGGAAAGATGCAAATTTGATGAGAGATGAATTATAATGGCGTGATAAATTTTAAGAGAAATATAACTTTTAAAATTGGATTTCCAATGTTATATGGTCTCCAGACAAACTGAGATATATTTATGGTGCACAACGTGATGATATAATGGACATACACATTGTGGAAAAAGTTGCCACAATCACATTAATTAACACATCTTTACATTTATATATATTTTATTTATTTATTTATTTATGTATTGGTAGGAATTATTAGAAGCTGCTATCCTAGCAAGTTCAACCTACTCTCTAAGGTATGATGGATGATAGGCAGCAAGCTGGGTATTAGATCCCAGGAATCCTTCATCTTATACTGAAAAGGTGTGCCCTTGGCTGCTGCCCAGGAACAGACCACAAATGCCTTGTCCTGGGAGCGTCAGGGGTGTGGAGGTGGCTGTAATGGGGGGCCCTGAGGTATCCCCCTCCTCAGCCTTCAGGCTCCTGTTCTGCGCTGTCACTCTCAGCAGAGCAGGGGTGGTTCCTGCCCTCAGCTGGTTTCCATAAACAGAAACACTGATTGGTGGCAAGGATTGATACTTGAAACAGAGTGTTTACTACAAATAACATCAGGGAGTGAACACACCACTTAATAGCAGCAGGTGGAACCGACTGTGGGGTGAGCTCTCTTGAAGTCCTACACGGTTTAGCTTTTCAGTTATTTTTCTTGTCCTTAGCAACATGATTTATTGATATACACTATCAATAAAATATATATATGATATAGTATATATCAATAAATCAAAAATGTGTGTAAATCAAGTAAATTGATATATGTATACAGCAATAAACGCTGTAACTGTATAGTTCATTTGTCTTCCCTCTGAAAATTATCCCATGGTACACAAATGCCACTTTGTGAGGCCATCCCAGTTGATTCCAGTGTTAGTGATGAGATCTAAAGCTCTACCAAACATCCTGTGTAGATTTTCATTTCTTTTCATTTTTTGATGATTATAAAAAGTTGTTATAAACAGTCACTTGAGGGTTTTCTCTGGACAAAGTATTTAGAGTCCTTTTTATAAATGTATAACTTGCAACTGATTCCTTTTCACCAAAAATCATAGAATTCGAAAAGCTACTCCCCACTGGTTAGTGTTAGATGAGTAAGATGGCAGCTGCAGCAGGGCTGACTGTCCTGCAGGCACAGCAGGGAGGGTGTGAGATCCAGTGATACACTCAAGGGCACAGAAATTGATTCATTCATTTTAATAATGGGAAAAAATGAATATAAACCTGCTGAAAGCAAGCAGACCTAACATGAGAAGACAAGGACTCTGTCTCCATGGAGACCCCTCACCTAGGGATGTGCTGCTGGGAGTGACTCTGAGGACAGAGGGAGGGAGGGGCCTGCCCCAGGGGGGCCCTGGAGGAGCCTGGGCCAGGACAGCAGCAAGAAGGTGCAGAGCCCCAGGCTGAGCCTCAGCAGCAGCTGCCAGGGGTGCCTGCTCTTGGCAGAAGAGAAAGGGGGTTTGTGTCTCACGTTCCCACAGGCCTGGAGCAAGGGGGGGGGCACTGAGACTGTAGTCATAGCTCTGGCAGTAATAATCAGCCTCGTCGTCAGGCTGGAGACCAGCCCTGGTCAGGGTGGCTGAGCTGCCAGACTTGGAGCCAGAGAATCGATCAGGGACCCCCGCAGGTCGATTGCTGGTACCATGTATCAGGAGTTTGGGGGCTGTTCCTGGGAGCTGTTGGAGCCAGGCCACACTGTAAGTCCCAATGTTGGAGCTGCTTCCAGTGCAGGAGAGGGAGACCCTCTGGCCCAGGTTCCCAGACACTGATTGTGGCTGAGTCAGCACAGACTGGGCCCAGGATCCTGGAAGGGGGAGAGACAAGGTGTTGGTTTTTGCTGGGATCTACAGACCAGAAGAGGAGGCAGGGCCCCAAGCATCTTCCCAGGCTCCCTTCCTGCTCCCCATAGCCAATTACCTGTGCAATGAGAGAGAGGCATGAGGAGAAGAGGGGACCAGGCCATGGTGCTCACAGCTGCCTGAGACCCACAGTTCAGCTGGCCTTGCCCAGGCCTCCTTTTCTTGTTCACGCTCTGTCACAGGAGGGGCTGTTCATGCAAATGGGGTTCTATACAGGGTCTGCTCAGCCCCTGCCTATGCACTGGGGCTGGAGCTCAGCTCATACCACATACAAGGAGGAGGGGTTTTGATTGTGAGAACCCTGGGAGGAAGCACCTGCTGACCCCACCCTAAAGTCCCTGCTCAGTACTGCAACTGTGTCAATAGGACACAGCTGCTGAGTCCCCATCTTGGAGCCCAGGGTCAGCCGCTAGGCCCAGACACATCTGTATAAATATCTGCATTGAGCAAGAGTGTAGGGCACACAGGATCGTTCCACAGCGCCCCCTGCTGGCTGAGGGCACACACTCACCAGCACTGAAGTCCAGGGAGCCCAGCTGCTGCCTGGTGATCACCAGGCCACTGTGTCTAGTCACACATCCAGGGTTTGACTCAGGCTGTGTGACCCCTAGTGCTGCACGATGGAGTCCTGGTGTGAAAGAGCAGTTCATAAATAACTGCTTAAATATGGTTTGCCCAGAGCAGATACTTCAATTACACCATTCTCCACCGGTCTGCAAGTTAGAACCTGGAGCATTTTCAGTATCTCACACTCATATGTATGAAAGGAATGGATTCCTACTACTGTCCTATGAATTAATTTGCATCTGAATCTTCAATTTTTAGGTAATTTAACTGTCTTGCTAGTTCACAAAGTGGAGGAAGAACAATGAATTTATTTTTGATGCTGTCCAATTTATATTTTTAAGACTATGCTGGTGGTGTCTTGGCTATAAGTGTTTACCAGGAAATGTTAACAATTATTTTCACCTGTTTTCTTCTGTATTCTTGGTTCTGTTACACCGACCTATGTGTCTATCCAAAATAGTTTGTCGTGTTTAGAAATGGATTAAAACTTTGTCCATTGGCAAGAACTGGCATCTTTACTACACCAAGTCTTCCCTCCACGAGCAGGACATGTCTCCACTGATGCTGATCATCTTGATGCCTTTAACTCCATTTTCTCTTTTCCACCACAGACAAGTTGTCCCTGCTCTGATACATAAGCTCCTATATATTACGGTTAGACAGATTTAACTATTACTCAATTTAGTTTTTGTTGTGGGAGTGAAGGAATTTGCAGAGACAGAGTGGAGGTTAGAAAAGGCAGCTTTATTGAATTCCCTATAAAGGGAGCAGGGGGCACAAGGAGAGAGCACCCCTCTAAAAAGAGGGGTGTTTGAGGCACCTCTTACACTCTGCTTGATGGTTTTCCAGCATTTAGGCCCCCTGCCTTCACTGGGATGTCAGGTCAGAGCAGGCCCTGCTTTGCTTTAGAATTCCCATCAGCCTTTAATGGACACAGATATGCTTCACGGGCCAGTTTCAACAACAATCAGTTGGTTTCCTTCTCTGCTGGGTTTAAATACCTGGTTCCCATGGTAACTCCAAGTTACAGTTTCCCTTATTTGTTTCAATCTCCTTTTCTCTCTGCTGAACAAGGAGCAGGGACTCTTTTTAACCATATAAATCCCAACAGTTCTCACTTATTCTTTGATGGTATACACACACCAAATTGGTCTTTCAGTGCTCATGCATCATAAAACCTTGACATTACCTATGACACTGGAATTCATGTATGTATCTGTAGTTTCCTTTACATATTTTATGCATTGCATCATCTCATGAGAAATGATGGAACAATTGTATCTTGTTCTTTGAGGGCTTCATGGTTTTAATTGCCTATGGTCTGGGCCTCCCTGGGGTGCAAGGAGTTAAGTCGCAGCACTATGAATCTATCCGCAGCCACTGCAGCACATGTTCGCCACCTGGCCAGGGAGGTGGCCCACTGGCACAGTAGACCTGTCCTGTCTCGCCCGCTGCTCCTCAGCAGTGTATTCCAGTAGAGCCACCTGTTTTGCTCCCCGCTCTGTCTCTTGTGAATCCTCTCACCCCTCACACCTCTGGTCTGTACCCCAGGTCTTGTATGCATCAATAAATAATCTTAAAAAAATTGCCTGTGGTCCTGCTGGATTGTCCAGTCCACGTTGAAGGGCAGTGGTGACTGTGGACATGCTCGCCTTGTGCAGCTGTAGGGGGAGCGTCTTAAGGGTTTCACCTTAGGTGTGACCTGATCTACAGGGGCCCCCTAGTTTCCTTTAACAACTAAGGATGCTGCCCTGCCTGCCTCCTTCTCTGAGTTATTCTCATGATTGGGGTTGACTCTTATAAATGTCCTTTCCATCTTGATTGATAAGATCATGTGATTATTTTCCCTGCTTCAGCCTCTTTTTTATGTGGATTATGGATGATTTTTTTACAGGGAATAATCTTGCTCCTAGTTGCAAACCATTTGTCATGATGGATACACCTTGCCACAGGTTACTGAATTCTATTTTCTGATTTTTCTTAAGAAATGAGTGTTTTAAGTTTATGAGTGATGTTTTCTTTGTTTTTGTCCCTGGAATATGTATTTATTTCTCATCATAGTTCCTTTTGCCATATTTTGTATTTTTCAGGTAGAAGCCTTTCATGCATCTCATGTTTACTCAAGTGATTACTGCTGCTGGTTTTGTCATCTGAGGCCCAGATTGAAGGACTTAGCCAGAAGCATCTGGGAGTTACTCTCTTAGTCTGATCTGAAATCACCACCTTGGGCTCCTCTGACATCTCCACAGAGGAATTTTTATGTCTGAAGGAGCAAGCTTTGCCTTTGAGAACATGAACAGCATGAGGATAGATTAGCAAGTAAGACTTACAGAAGGAAAGGATATGCCATTGACACCTCTACTGAATCCAGGGAAATCAGATGCTGGTAGAAGATCTGACAACAGAAGTCACACCTGAGCCACCGAGGGTGGGAGCCCAGGCACAGGTAAAAGGAGACTTTTGACTCAGTTTCCCCTGGGGCTGAGGCGCTGGGGAGGCACGTTGCTATCCTGCCATGTGCTTCAGGAACAGTCAGCCTCGTCCTGGGGCTGGAGCCCAGAGATGAGCAGAGCCTGGCATTGGCCAGGCATCAGAGAAGGGACAGATCCTCAGAGCCTAGTGAGTGTAGACAGGGGAAAGGAGGTCCCTCTGCCTCCTGCTAGTGCAGTATAGACATCTGCTGCCAACCCGATGTCACTTCTAAGGATCAGGTAAGTCTGGCTTATGCTCCCGGAGAACAGAGGGAGGGCGGCTGAGTCAGCACAGGCTGGAGAGGGAAATTGCAAAGACACACTCATGGGTGTTGAAGCGGGGCCAACACCCTCCCTGCACACACACCAAACTAGGAGGGGGGTTTGCTTCACCCCTTGGGAGAACCCTGGGAGGAAGCACCCGCTGACACCAACAAAGGTCCCTGCTCAGGGAACTCTGTCAGGCCAGAGAGGACCCAGCTGCTGTGGCCCCATCAGGAAACCACAGCACAGCCCCATCCCAGTCCCAGGCTCTTCTGAGGGAATAGTCCTCACTTTTCAGAGGTGGATGGTCCCACAGTGCCCCCTGCTGGTCACAGGATGCCCACTCACCGGGGCCCAAACCTGAGGGCACAATTTCTGCACCTCAGAGATTGCCTGCTCTACTCACACCCATGCCCTAACTCTACACAGTGTGGCCCCAGACTGCTGCACATGGTTATGCTGATTTCTCTCTCTCACATGGAGTTTGTTTTTTTTTTAGGTTTTTTTTTTTTACTTTTTTTTTTTTTATAGAGGAATGTTTTATTTATTTGTTTGTTTGTTTTGTTTATACAAGCACTGGGTACAGTCAGAAGTGCGGGAGGGTGAGAGAATTCACCAGAGCCAGAGCGGGGAGCAGAGCAGGCAGAAGGACCAAAGTACACTGCTGAGGGGAGCAGCGGGCGGCAGGAGAGGTCTGCGCGCCATGTGGGACCCTCCTCCGGTGGCCGGGGAGCAGCCTGGGATCGAACCGGCACTGCAGAGGCTGCGGGCAGCTTCGCAACCCAGCGCTCAACCGCTGCGCCACCGGGGAGGCCCTCACATGGAGTTTTGATCTGTGGGAGGTAAAAAGTCTCAATGTCATAAATGATAACTGAAGGTTTTTATCCCCAGAAAATAAGAGAGTGAAAAGATGGCATAATTTCATCAATATATTCTTTACCTATGCATAAATTGTAATTTTTTTAAAGTTTTGTGTGTTAAAATAAAAATTTCTGAACAGTGTTACATAAATTTATCTGCCTTTTCAATATATTATTTTGCAGTAAACAAAAAAAAAATTCCCGTTCAGCATTAATGCTTATGTGTAGAGTTAATGAAGACAGAATCTAAGAGAAACTCTAAGAAGAAGAGATGCAACGCACTTTCCTAGGAAGTATGTTTCCATAGAAACCAAACTGATACCACCACCAATTTGAATACCAAATAGCCTCCTTGAGTCCCACAGCGCCCTCTGCTGGTCACAGGACACACACTCACCAGGACCCAAAGCCCTGGGAGCCCAGCTGCTGTCTGCATCACCAGGTCACAGCGTAGGTCACACTCCTGGGACTCACTCACAGGCTGTGAGAACCACCGTGCTGCACAGGGTCACTGAGGCGCCCCCACGCTCAGTGGCGACCTGGTGTAAAAAGATGCACCATGGACATAAATGACTGCTTAAATTTTATGACTAGAGAAGATACTGCAAGCATCATATGCTTGCATTGGTACACAAATTAGAATTTGGATACATTTCAGTATTCCAAAAATCACATGTATTGAAGCAGTGCACTCCAACTCCTCTCCTATAAATTAATTTGCATATTCACCCTCTATTTTTAGGTAATTTAAGCTTAATTTAATTTTTAGATAATTTTACTAATTCACACTAGGGAGACAGAAGAATGAATTCTTTATTGGTGATGTCCAAATTATTTTTTAATGGATTATGCTGTTGAAGTCTGGGACCTACTGGGTGTTCAGTAAGTGTGTGGATGCACTCCATCCGGGAGTCAGCTCCCCCAAGTTGCTGGTGGACGCTG